CCTGGCTCTGTTTTGGAGCTGCTTCAGAGTCGTCCAGCAGCACGACTCCCCACCCTTCTTTCCCCCCTCTGATGTTATGTGGTTTTTTGCTTGGTTCAGTCATTTTAGGAGCATGCTCAAAGTATCAGGAACATTTTTGAAGGAAATGGCTTTAGTTTTAGAATTGTGGCACACAAGATGTAGCAGTATCTGTGCTGTTTTTTTAGCACACTCTGCAGTAGTTATGTACATTTTTAAATGGTACTTAATCTGGGTAAGCAGTTGCATAGTTACTATGTGAATGTTCAGTCTTAAGCATTCACGTGCTGCAGTGCGCCTCTGTTAGAATGGGTTTGCCTAGGTGGCCTCTGCTGTGTAATCATGGCCTTCATCTCATGCCTGCGTGTCATGTTGTCAAGGAAGCAAACGGTTTAGACCAGGTAAAATTGCTGAAAGGCAATTTCTGGTATTTTTGGAAGTATTTCATTACAGAAATACTTGTGGGCAGGGTGCCAACAGATTACTGTATTAGATCTGAAAATAATAATGCTAATATGGCTAATTGCAAGTAATACTATATGCTATAATATCAATTTTTACAACATTTCACCAGCTTAGAACAGTGGAAGGTAGTTGCACTGTCCTTTCAACAATGTGACTGTCATCTTCTTTTTTATTTTCTCTCTCCTTTCTTACAGGAGAAAAATGAATTTTAGTCATAACAACAAAAGTATATTTCATTATATAATTGGGGCACTCTCCAGAGTTTGGGCTTACGGGAGGCTAAAATAGTCAGGGAGGTGAAGCCAAGAAAACCAACACAGTAACTAGACATGCCAATGAGCTGTGTCAAGCAGGTATTCCCTTTATTACAGTTCTGGGTGAATGGGGGATCTCTCCACCGAGGGAAGCAGCAACTACATATTTAAAGTGTGTACACATTCGTTACATACCAAGGACAGAGGCAGAAATTCCAAGAAATAATTAACATACTGTCCCACCCTTTCAGGCGTGTGCTCTAATAGTGTGGTGGGGGTCTCTGATGGCTATGGGTCAAAGGCTAGCAATTAATCATCCTCATCCAGCCCTTTAAGAGGGGGTAGCATGAACCGGCTCTCACTGGTGTTGTGATGAGCTCTTTTGATGTCTTATCTTCAACAACAGAACATCTATTCTACTTTCTTATCTGTACTTGACAAGTTTCACGGCCTCCACATTTTGCTCTTGTGCTTACATTTTGGAAGCCTCCAGTCCTTCAGCTTTTATCCTCTCAAGCTATGCAAAAGGCTTTTCTCATAACATAGAAAAGCTGTTCTCATGATTCAGAGGCAAAGTATAATGGCCTTCTCATCCAGAATCTAGGAAGAAAACTCTTAACTCCAATGTGGTGCTAGAAAGTGGCATTCCTTTATTCCTCATGATATATATCAGGCGACTTGACAAGCAAGTGCGCTCTTTCAGAGTTCAGGTTCTACATTTAAACAGTTAAGACATACATATGTAGTACTTGGTACTACATATTCATTCTTTTTTCAAGGATTCATAAGTTTCAGTCATTTTCCCCCAATTTGGGTAATTTCCGTTGCTTATTAGGCCCCAGTGAGGGGCTATTAAAACAATATATGTGGAATCCAAGGAAGATGTCCTTGCACCTACTGGGTTCAAAAGGTACAAGTATTCTATTATGACTCCTGTGCTTCTTGTGAGGCAAAATCATTGAGGCAAAGGATGAAAGTATTCTATTATGTCCCCAGTGCAAAATTATTGAGAAAAACAAGACTATTCACTGAAGTGGAGAAAACCCATCAAAGTAACTTGACCCACCAGTGAGTTATGTATGTCAGGCAGGTCTTCCCTTTATTACAGCTCTGGGTGCAGGGGGGATCACTCCGCCAAACACACACACCAAAGGAAGCAGTAGTTGCAGATATAACAGCTTAGGTCAAGCATATTCATTACACTCTGAGAGAGTCCTAGAATTAGCAGATTGTTCCACCCCTTCTCCAGGCATGCATAGTATGTCTCTGTGGTCCTTTCAGTGGTCTTTGGCGCCCCCCGTGGTGGTTGGAGATGAAGGTCTCGATGTCTTCATCTCACTCAACTCTCATCCTTGTTACAGTTGAGGGCTCAGAACAGATTTTGTCTAGTGTCCAACTTTTCAGTTCTGCATCTTTGCTTGCAAAACGGGGTGAGTTGCTTAGCCACAAAGTTTGTTCTTACAGTGTATATAGTGATCCCACGTCATCACCCAGTAAAGTTGAAATGGAAAGTTTTAGAACTACTACTCGTTACTTTTGCTGAACTAATACATTTGTTCTTAAACTAATGTATTAATCCCTGTTGCTAAACAAACTGACCCGAAGCAGCCTAACATTAGAGTATCAGTGTGCAGAACCCCAAGGGATGTGCACACAGGAGTATGTTCACAGAGAACTCAATCCATCTTGTTATGGCATTGATGTGTGAGTTGGTTGTAAGTTACTTGATACGACTTGCACAACTATCATTTGTCTTAAATAAAAATGCAGGGCATCAGTATGGTGTCTTGTCAGGTGCTTTTTGTTTTTTTTTCTTCTTCAACTCTTTTACCCTTTTCTTCTTTTTTTTTAACCCTGGAGAAAACAAGGCTGCGGGGTGACCTCATTGCAGCCTTTCAGTACCTAAAGGAAGCCTACAGAGGGGAGGGGAATCAACTCTTGGAAAGGGTAGATAACAGCAGGACAAGGGGAAATGGTTTTAAGTTGAGGGAGGGGAGATTGAGGTCGGACATCAGGGGGAAATTCTTTACCCAGAGAGTGGTGAGGTGCTGGAACAGCTGCCCAGAGAGGTTGTGGATGCCCCGTCCATCCCTGGAGGTGTTCAAGACCAGGTTGGATGGGGCCTTGGGCAACCTGGTTTAGCATTAAACATGGAGGTTGGTGGCCCTGCATGTGGCAGGGGGTTGGAGATTCATGATCCTTGAGGTCCCTTCCAACCCTGGCCATTCTGTGATTCTGTGATTTTAGCATCTAGTGTCCATCGGTTATTATTCACAGGGTATAGAGAAGAATGGTTCTGAAGCCACTAAATTAGATCAGTCGTAGGTATGGATTTTTGCTCTTGTCATTCAAGATTGTACATGGGAGGCAAATGCTACACAAAGTTCCACTGACTCTATAAAAATATGAATAAAAGATAACCAATAAACAGCTATTGAGAGGTTACCATGTTTACCAAGAATGTTATCTTTTAACTGTTATATTGTAAAGATTATTCAACGTTACAGCCAGTCACTGAAAATATCATAAATATTATTCTGAAGTAGGAGATGGTAAATATTGTCATCAGGTGTGAGTCTTTTTTGATAGATGTGGAATGAATTAGGGTGCATGAATTCTGATTTTTGTGCAAGTTTTCTCCTAAGTACGGAAAATTTTCTTAACGCCACATTTTTGAAGAAGGTGATGTTAATTGTTCAGTCAGGTTACTTTCTTAAGGGATGGTTGGATATAAGACTGACGTGACATACAATTATGTTAATGGATTTCAGCTAGTTTCTAGCCAAGCCTGAGCATGTTTCTGCTTTCCCACATGTGACAGCCAGTGCTCACTGACAATTTGTGAAACATAGCTGTAATATTGATACAAGCTAGATAAGCACCAGCAGAGAGGAGGATGTTCCCAAGTGAGAAGGGAAAAGGAAAATGGAAGAGATAGAACGAATCAATTCTTGTAGTAAGGACCACATAAGGAGCTAATGCATCTACTAATTATCAGATTTTGTGACTCAGTTTTTGTCACTTCTTTTACCAATGTTAGTTGTGGCATTAAATGTTTCGTGTTTGTCATTCTAAATTGGTTGCCAAGACTGAAAAGGTACAATTTAAGTCTGTGTGAAAATCAGTAAGTTGCTTTAAATGTGCGTAAGATTTGTCTAGTTTCCACCAGCTGTCCAATAATTCATGTGCAATGTGTGAACCACCCCAAAAATTCCAGCTTGAAAATACTCTGGTTTATAGCTTTGGAACTCCTTGTACATATCTATGATGCAAAACCCTTAGTACTTGTAGAAATAGAACTATTACGTATTGCATGGCAATTTTTAGCATGCATAGTCAGCAGACCTTGTGTCATGTAGGTTATAATTGGGCCTAGTTTGGTTTGAGCTGAGCACAAACTAATCAAAAAGGTTTGAAATGCATTTTCTACTCCCTTTGTCTAGTTTTTGTTTTGTTTTATGTTTAGTAGCACAGAAACCTAGATGTGCTTTACTTCCTAGTTCTTCCCCTGGCTTTTATACTAAAAAAATCTTTTGCACTTTTTCTCACTCTTCTCTCAGTAGAACCATTTGTCTCAGGTCTTTTTTTTCTTTTTTTTTTTATAACATAATCTTGCATTATATGTTGTTTGGTTTTGTTTTGTTTTGTTTTCTAGTAACATCACTCTTTAAACACTTAGCATGACTCCTATCTGAAGAAGTGGCCTTTGAGCTTCATGTTTTCTGTCCTGGTGTACCATGCTATGTTGCTCAACTTGTCATCTGAAATCTGATCTCTGAGATGAAATGGGAGGGAAAAGGAGTGAATTGCAATGGAGTGTGAATGCTAATGGCACAAGTGTGTGCACTGGTCCTGTTGACAAGGTTCTCACCAACCAAGGCAGACTGGGGGGCAAGGACCTGGAGTGAATGAAGAAGATTTGAGGAGGCATTCCAGCCACAATTATCCCTGTAACTTCTCTTTCATCACCCCTTAGAGAAGAGGGTTTTTTCCTGGTCTTTTGTTTGCTGATGACTCCTTCTCCCCAGCCTTTCATTTTAATAATAGCATACCAAAACCATGTCTCAACAAGGTTTGAGGATTTCTTGCTTTATTCTGTAACAAAATGGAAAGAAATCTGACAGGGTCTTAAACATTCTTAGTCTCCTGAAACGGAGACTTTGGAACTGAGCTAACTGAGCTCTGGAAACTGAGAGCTACGATCGTGCTTTGCAAAGCAGTGAATTGTTTTGTTATATCTTTCTGTTTCTTGATTTCCTGTAGAAATTGGGAAGATCGACCAAGATATCTATAAATATAACACACCAGGATTCACTGGTTGCCTATCAAGAGTACAGTTCAACCAGATTGCTCCCCTCAAAGCAGCTTTGAGATCTACCAATACCTCCTCTCACGTTCACATTCAAGGAGAACTGGTGGAATCCAACTGTGGAGCATCGCCACTGACAATCCCACCAATGTCGGCTGCAACTGACCCGTGGCACTTAGATTCAGGTAAACTGGGCCTCATTCCATGTTGAGTCAGCTGAGCAGTTGAGAGAAAAAAATTATCTTTTTCTTTTTTCTTTTTTCTTTCTTCCTTTTTTTTTCCTTTTTTCCTTTTGTTGTTGCTTATGTTTTGTTGGCTTTTTTTCACATTTGTGAAGGAACATAATGCTGCTGTGGTAGTACTTTGTAGTGTTGGGCATGTAATAAGCAAGACATTGGTAGTATGTGTGGATAAAGCATGGTAGTATGTATTCTGTTGAATTGCTAATAAGTATATTGTAGTCAGCTTCATACAAAAAAAAAAAAAAGTAATTAAAAAGTGCTGATTTGTATTCTGAAATGTCTGCTTTTCTTAGGCCATGTTTAATGGGAAATCTTACCAGTCATTACTGAGTTCTCTTATGCAAAAAATGCTAGAAAGCCAAAACAATTTTCTTATCTCAGCAATCTTATTCTGCTTTGTGTTTGACGGTCTTTGGAAGAATATACTGTGTCTGACTTAAGAGGATTGGATTTTTTCTTCTTGCTGCCTGGGTGTTAGACATATAGCTTAGGAAAAAAAAAAAAAAAAAAAAAAGTCAGCTCCTTTTAAATTTGCATTCATGTTTACATTGATACGTGTCATATTTTGGCCTCTGATTTCTGATTCTGATTTCATTTTTTTCTAGTTTCACTGATTTCATTTATTAACATAAATTAGAATCTGTCCTGGCAAGTTGATGACTTCACAGTGCTATAAAATTGTGAGAGGAAAAACGGGGACTGTAATGATTTTGGCACCGAATAGTCCTATTATGTTTGAGAATTCATTTGTCTCTGTCAGTTTTGGTATGCAAGAGAAGCGTGTGCCAAGGTCATACCTTTGTCATTGTTTTTCAAAACCTCAAACAATTCCTTCCAGCCCTTCCTTTTGGCTCTTCTTAAACAGAAAGGTAGGGCAGAGGTAAGTAAGAAGCAGAAGAGCTTCTTCTGGAGCTGAAGCTCCCAAATACAGATACTTCTTGATCTAAATTCCCTTCATGCCATCAAGCCTTTTTTACCAAGATTTTATTGCATCTCTTCATTGTTCACGACATGCAATCTCCTATCACAGGATCACAGAATCGCAGAATGGCCAGGGTTGAAAGGGACCTCAAGGATCACGAAGCTCCAACCCCCCTGTGCCATGCAGGGCCACCAACCTCCCCATTTCATAGCAGCCCAGGCTGCCCAGGGCCCCATCCAACCTGGCCTTGAACACCTCCAGGGATGGACGGGGCATCACAGCCTCTCTGGGCAGCTGCTCCAGCACCTCACCACTCTCTCTCTAAAGAACTTCCCCCTGACATCCAACCATCCAGGCCCCATCTTTGCAGCCCTCGTTTGGGCGCTGATAGCTTTGTGTCCTTTTTACACTGTGACACCCAAAGCTGCACCCAGTGCTCAAGGTAAGGCTGCACCAGTGCAGAACAGAGCAGGGCAAATCACTTCCTTTGATGGCTAGCAATGTTGCACTTGATGCACCCCGGTATATGGTTAGCCTTCCTGGCTGCCTGGGCACACTGTTCAACTTGCTGTCAACCAAGACCCTCTTCAGCAGGGCACCTCGTCACTCTCATAGTAAAGAACTTCTGCCTGACATCCAACCTCAATCTTCCCTCCCTCAGCTTAAAACCATTTCCCCTTGTCCTGCAGTTATCAACCCTTTCCAAGACTTGATTCCCCTCCTGTTTGTAGGCTCCCTTTAGGTACTGCAGGCTGCAATGAGGTCAGCCCACAGCCTTCTTTTCTCCAGGCTGAACAAGCCCAGCTCCCTCAGCCTGTCTATGTAGGGGAGATGCTCCGGCCCTTGACCATCTCTGTGGCCATCCTCTCCAACAGCTCTCTGTCTTGTCCTGGAGGCTCCAGACCTGGACGCAGTGCTGCAGATGGGGCCTCACAAGAGCAGAGCAGAGGGGGACAATGACCTCCCTGTCCCTGCTGGACACCCCTCTCCTGATGCAGCCCAGGATACCATTTGCTTTCTGAGCTGCAGGAGCACACTGCTGGCTCGTGTTAAGATTTTCATCCATCAAGACTCTCAGGTCCTTCTCTGCAGGGCTGCTCTCAAGCACCGCTCCTTCCGGTCTGTATGGATGCCCAGGATTCCTGCAGCCCAAGTGCCAAACTCTGCACTTTGCTGTGCTGAACCTCATCAGGTTCACCCAGGCCCCCCTTTCCAGCCTCTCAAGGTCCCTCTGAATGGCATCCCTTCCTTCCACTGTGTCAACCACACCACTCAGCTTGGTGTTGTCAGCAAATTGCTGAGGCTGCACTCGATTCCGCCATCACTATCATTGATGATGTTACAGAGCACTGCTCCCAAGACAGAGCCCTGGGGGACGCTGCTCATTACCAGCCTCCTCCTGGACATTGAAGCATCGATGACCACTTTCTGTCTGCAGCCTGTTAACTAATTTCTTATCCATCGAGTGGTCCACCCATCAAATCCACGTAACGTGTATTGGTTGTTAATTTTTGTTTTATTTTTTAATCTTTTTCCAATAGATGATTTGACTGCAAGCTGACAAAAGACTGGCTGGATTTATGCAACATAGTTGAATGTTTCCTGACAGCTTGTTGGTGTTAAAAGAGGAGGTTCTATTTGTCCTTGACCTGTGCTACTGTGCTTGGTCTTCTGTTGATTCAGTCTTGTGTAGGAAAGCTTTACTGAATCAATTCTGCTTTGACCAGATAGATTAAAAAATTATAAATTTAATCCTGATTAGTTGCAGTACTCAGTCATGAAGGGTATCAGGGAACATGCAGCATATGTTTGGGATGCTTCAAGTGGTCTGTTAGCTTTTGCCCAATAAAAAAATAAAATCTTATTGTAACAACAGAGCTTTACTTGGCTGTTAAAGTCTTGGGCAACCAGAACATGGTGGCTTACATTCACTTCTGGTGATGAGAAGCCTTTAGTAAGAACTAAAGCTAGGCACTCCTCCTCCTGTCCTCACCAGTGTTCAGCAACAGTAGAGGGAAAATATTATATTGCTTTAAAGACTCCTAATAAGGAAATACTAGAGAGTGCAACAGTTATGGTATAATGTGTGAACGGTGTTTCACAGGCATAGTAGAAAGGATGTTGAGCCATATGTGAACAATTCCAGATTTCCACTCTGAGTTAAATTTCCTTGATACAAAGAGGAGGTATCACAAGAGCTGATGTAGCAATGTCAAATAAGAACTACTCAGGCTCTGTAAGAGTACCTCTGGTGATCTGACACAGAATCACAGAAGCACAGAACTGTAGGGGTTGGAAGGGACCTCCAGAGATCATCGAGTCCAACCCTCCTGCCAAAGCAGGTTCCCTATACCAGGGACACCCAACCAGACACGGTGGGCTCTGTCTCAGTTTCAGGAAAAGTAGGTACTGTAAATTGCATTAACTTAGAAATAGATGATGGTGAGTGATAAATGAAAACATTTGCTAATAGTGTCACAATGCATTAGCAAATTGGCAGTTTGCACTGATTATTTTGTTTGTTGCCCGTTCTCCACAAGAAAACTTTTTAACGTGAAACATGTGGAAGGAGAAAATCTAAAAATCAATGGTGTAAGTAATAGTTTCTGTTGACTATGGAGCTGAAATGCTCTTGGTACTCTTAATTGTGAATTTATTCCTTCGTTAAACTGAATGAAAGGGCAGAGGCAAAGGTCTCTTTTGAAGCTCACAGGAACACTTCTGGTGTTGAAGCAAAAGATACAAGATGTTCACACTCTGTTGCAAAGAAATGGTTACAAGCAGCATGTGTTTGAAAGCAGCATGTACAATTTGTCATTTCATTCATATTTTTATCCGTAATTTATATTATTGTGCCATCGGTTTCACTTTAAAATGAACTTAATTAAGTGTTGAGAACAGGTGATTAGCAGTGAAAATGAAAAAGGTATGTGTCTAAATAGGACAGGTAGCTGTGGAAGTAAAGTAATGATTCCTTCACTCTAAACTGCAATACTGGATCATACCTTGTGCATAGTTAACAAGATGCTAAGCAGGTTCTTCCTGGTGGCTGGCCCACATAAGATATTTGCCTTAAACTCTTCTGTATAGTTACCATTGTGGGCACCTCCTGTTACTTGCAAAACACTGTGGATGCTGGGACAAAAGGAGGCAAGCCATAAAGACACATATCAGTCATTTGTATGTAACTGCTCCTTAAAGTCAAGTTCAGAGTTTTTGTCAATAAGAAAGCTTTTTGATTTGCTCTCTAGACAAATAGGCCATTCAGCCTCTAGATTAGTTGTCTTGCATTTCTGTTAGCCTTGGATTAACATATTTCTAATTTCTAATATTAGTTCTTCTAAAAAAAAATTATCACTGCAAAAATATAATTTCCATCCCTCCCCATCCACTGCTGGCTTTTTGCCATGCTATCAGAACATTATCTTGTTCAGCTTGGGAATACTTCTTTTCTTGTTGCTATGGTGATCCTTTCTTGGTGGTGATGAAGCACAGGAATTCAGCAAGTCATTTGTTTCTAGAATGTGACTGTGGTGGCTTAAAAAAAGAAAGAAAAGACACTAACCAAAACTAAGCAGATCATCAATATTGTTCCCCTCCTGTGTTTTCCTCTCATCTCAATTATATCAGTTCTTGTGAGACAATCCAATTTCTCTTACTTACTTGAAGAGTAGAAGGGAAGCAAAGAGATGACCAGGTTATTTTAAAATGTCCACCTTTGCATATTGTCTAAAGCCAGTGAATTACCTGCCTGGCATACATGTGAAAACAAATGCCAGTATGAAGCTGCAAGTTGCATTCATTCTAAGTGTGTAAATGCAGTGCAGTATTTAATATGGGATTTAGTTAAATCCATGCTAGGTTCATCATCACATTGAGAATTAAATAGACTGGATTAAATCTGCAGTGGTTTTTTTCAAGTGTGTGATTTGATTTTTTTTTCTGACTTAATGGCTTTCTTCTCTATTCTTGTTGAAGGTGAAAGGCCTTGTGTTTTAAGAATGAACAGCTTGCTTTGAAA